ACTGGGGTAGACAACAGCAGGCACCATAACGGAAAGAGGATTACAATATGTACCACAACAGGCGCGTAGGAAAAGCCGAGGAGGGGAGGAGGGAGGGATACTCCAGTGGAAGGTGACAGTTGTGGATTGCGGCAATACAACTATGGGAGAAGCAGTAGAGAAGGCGTGGACGAGGAAGAGGGGGAGCAGTCGGAGGTGCGATCAGGGGAAAAGGGTACATGCAACCTCCGATACAAAATGCATGTTCATCCATTCGCAATGTTGGGTATTAAACCGTTTATTAAGAGATAACAGTAATAAAACTGAAAAGCTTCCCAACGTGAAGGGGGAAGTGACAAACCTAAAAATGCAAAAACTTCACCTTCTGAGCGTTAATAGACCTAAGTTTCGCCTGTTGCCACTATTCACTCGTCAGCAGCAGGTGCAGCCTCGACAACCTCGTCAACAACCGCGGGAGCCTGCACGGGAGCTGGTGCCAGCTCCGCCTCGAATTTCCGAACGTAAGAGGAAAGAGGAGGTCCGGAGTACGCCTGTTCTTGAGGTGCAGGGTCTGATCCACCGAGAGCGAAGAGCACGGCTGCTGCGCCGGCCAGCGCTGCGGCAGCGCCGACAACGTTCAGGACCACACCGGAGCCGCCGGAGTTACCCACATAGATAGTAGGCTGCAGGCGAAACATAGACATAGACAATAAAGCTCATTAATTCTCGCTAACGATTGCGACAACAGGTAGCGACTGCTAAGATGGACCGGCTCTTTTCGAACAAGTGCAACCAGCACTTATGATAGTTTAATTGCCATTGTCCAGCTGTGATTCGTCGCAAAGCCTGAGATTGGCAAAGCTTGTGCCTTTGACTCTCACCTCAACGGCGTAGATGTTCTCTTGACCGGCAGTGTCCTTCTCCACATAGCCGGTGTAGTCGTTTCGCTCCGCACGCACAGTTAATCTCTGCAAGGTCAGTCAGAGGTAACACAATTGAGTCAGAACACATCAACCCTGAATTGAACTATTTAACGTTAAAAATGCCGAGCTCCGGACTGAAACTCTCTCCCAGGTTACGACTATGATCAGGGAACGCAGAAGCTTACTCTTTGGGGAAATGACACGACAGCGGGCCCTTGTCGGAGGGATGACACGTCGGCCTTCACGAGAGCCCCAAGCGAGAGCTTGCACTGGAGAGAGGTAGCGGCCATGGCGTAAATGTTACGGTATACGTGCGTAGACAAAGGAAGGTAATGTGGAGGACACAGCTACTGGTAGAAAAAAATATTTTGGACAGAGAAGTTCAGCGATGCGATCTAGGAAATTTGCTACCAGGCTGGTACAAGAAACTAGGATGAGAGAAACGTTATATGTTCACCAAATGAGAGAGTGACTGTCTTCTGAAGCAAGTGAAATACCGAAGAATGATGACCATTTAGAAACGAGCGACAGAAACAGGTGAATGGAGATGAACATGCAACGGCAGGTGGCGCGACGCTGAGCTGTCAGGAACCACGTCACCATATCTATTGAAGGAAAATAGACGGTTTGGGTGAAACATGATGACCACGTGGCGGAAGCAAGTCCACCTCCAGGTGGCCGGTCAGCCCTGTGAGTGATAAAGCAGAAGCACGATGATTCGTGTTTGCTCTGTCCACGTTCCTTCCTGCGAAGGCTTCCCAGGTTTGAGGCAGTCGTTTTCTCTGTCCAATTGGCGGTAATCCGCGCTATAGACTGCACTGGCTATGGTGCAGGAATACAATTGGACGTGTTGCTACATGGAGCCACTGGCGATCTCATTTGTTGCTACATAGACTATAATGCTCTAAAGCTCAGTTTGTATCAGGAAATTATTTCTGTCACGATGAAAAGACAATGATTAATAAAAAATCCAAGTATAATAATGATCCAAACGTAATGGATATTCCAACTATGAAGTAGTTGAATTCCAGTATCAGTTGGATTGTGCAAATAAGCATGAAAGTAGACTACGTGTACTGAAACATATAGCATGTCGAAACGCTCTTCACCAAGAGTATAGTTCCGTAATGTCGGTAAGGAAGGAGCTGTTGGGGATCCTCCTTTCAGTTGTCCCAACCAACTGAAAGCTGCGCGAAGGCTGTTGGAAAGCTGCTTTGTCGTGATGAGCAGTAACAGACCTTAGCGACAGGCGTAAACCAGTTTCTCGTTTATTCGCAAAGCGTTACAGCATACTTCAAATTCGCACGACCGCCCGCCTCCCTATCACTTCCAGACCACCAGCTCCTTCACGAAAGTGCACACCGCGAAGAATTTCCGTGAAACCCACTGCAGTGAAAACAAATTGTAGACACTCATGAACACCTGTACAGTGACCCCCTTTCGCAAGTAGAAGTCCATTTGTACGGTTTTAAACTTGTTTCCAAAGCATCTTGGAGTCACAAACACAAGGGTTGTGAGGGGGTCAAACCTTCTAGTGGCAAGAGAGACACCTCGAGCAGACCCCTAAAAAAATGCCGAAAGGATATTCCCAAGGTCAGCACTTCGAGAACTGTTCACCGGGGACGACGATGTTTGTCCCCCAAGCTGCTGCTTTCAACCACTCGTGCGGAACCTTTCCCCAGCTACTCCCCATCTCCCCCTTCCTGCATTTCAACTCCCCCACTTCCCCGTCAGGTCGCCAGTTTCCAAGCCCGCACCTTCACCGATGCTCTTCCCCCAAGCTCTCTATTCCCGCAACATCGCATGGCACAATCAGGCCAACTCCGTACCGCAGGCTTTCTGTCTCCTGGTTCTTCCCCCCTCGATCTTTCCGCCGTTCTCGTCAATGGCGGAACCAACAGTAGGCATTTCTGTCGTCCTCCCAATCCAACCTAATCCAGCTATTCGCTCGCTCTTGCTGTCTCCTCAAAGCTCTCTAGAGTCACTCGACTGACAATTCGTCCCTGATTTCTCCTTATCATTTGGAAGCTTCCGATACAATCCATAGTTTCTAGCCTCCATACGTCACGTGTCAGTACGAACCCTAACATTGTGAAGGGAGAGTACGTGAGTGCGCGTCCCGGTCCGATAGTCTCGCTCCTCTCTCTTCAGTGTTTCGGATAGAGACTATTTTGTGGGACGCCTATCTTACAGGTACACTTCTGCGTGTGTCGCGAAGGCTTTACGCTGTCGTGCGGTTTGCTGTATCGCCGTCTCATTGCCCCGCTGCTTCTTCATCTTCCGCTTCTTCGCACTTCCGTAGTCAGCCCAGCTGTCGTTTTATTTCTTCTTCACTTGCTTCCTCCACTATTTTCGGAGCACTCCCTCCGGTTTTTAGCCAGAAAAGGCCTTGCTATGAAGGCCCGGCTTTCACTACCTTTCCCTCCCTGTCCCGAGCCTCTATTTCCTTTTGAGGCACCACAAGCACTCCTTCCGTCCCTGCCCCCCTGCGTCTGTTGTCCTGTCGTGAACCGTACAGGGAGCTTCATTCGTCGTACACCGCCTGTAGCTCGCGCACGCGTAAACGAGGACGAACTTAGCGGGACACAGCACATTGGGGTTCCTTCAATTATAGCCTGGTTTGGTTTCTTCCACCGATTCCTGTTCAACATTGTCTTGCCGGCTCGGCATTGCAGAATGCTGACACATCATCGCGACGATGCCACGTCATCATGACGGTGGCACGTGAGCACCGATGGCGATACGGACGGCTGCGTATCAGGCGCCCTTTCTTGCCCCGTTGCGGATTCAAGTCTCTCGTTCAAGACTTTCGTGCAAAGCCCACCATTCGTCACTGCAGCATCATCCATCCCTTAGAGTCACATCCGCGTTAATGACAGGCTCATGGCCCTAGGTGCTCGTTAAGGAAAACGCTTAGGCTGGACTCCCACTGGCAGGAGCGGCCTCGTTATGGAGTTATTATGCTACACTCGATGTCGACGTGCGTCACTCCGTTTAGGCTTTCGGTAGACGCAAGACTTACTTAACTAATTCAGTAACAATCGCCATCTTGTCGTTATCAGCAATTAGGGTAGCAGGGGCCCCAGCAGTCGGCAACGCCAGCAGTAGCAGAAGCAGCACGCAGCAGCACGCAGCAGCAAGGCAGTATTTATTGGCGCAGTTGGCTGGTTTCGATACAGTTAGCATCATCGTCAAAACCCGTTACTATTCTCATCAGCATTTACAAAGCGTATAATAACACTTGCAGGCTGATAGTGTTTCAGCCAGGCCGAGCGCCGGGTTCCGATATAAGCACCAGACGAGGATGGGGGACGCGGACCAATCAGACAGCAGCGACACAGAGACGGAAAGGCCATGGTTCCCCGAGCCTCGAGTCAACGGGGCGAATCTTGCCGAGCCTATAGGCACGGTAGCACGTTCGGGACAGTTGGGAGCGCCACTTGGGATTGCGCATTTGGCATTGGGTGCCGTAACGGCTGCTATGTCAGCATACAGCCCCGGAAAAACGGGGAAGGGGGAAGGGGACGGGCTGCCACGTGTCCGGATGCTGAGCTGTCTACATGCGCTGTTCACGCAATTGCATGACCCGGAACAAGTCGAAGAACCGGAAGGAGGTATGTGGAGTTGGGTTTGGGAGGTAAGTTGAGTTAGGGTTACGAGGTATGTGGTTTGGGGGAAGGGTGAGGGGGTATGTGAAGTTAGGGTTAGGAGGGGATGTGTGGAGTTAGGGTTACGAGGTATGTGGTTTGGGGGAAGGGTGAGGGGGTATATGAATTTAGGGTTAGGAGGGGGTGTGTGGAGTTAGGGTTACAAGCTACCTGATTTAGGGTTACAAGGTATGTTTAGTTAGGAATGGGAGGAGTTATGTAGCGTTAAGGTAAGGGGATACGTGGATTACGGGTTAGGAGATACATGGAGTTAAGGTTATAGGGTACGTGGAGAGTTGGGTTAGAAAGTACGTACAATAAGTAGAGTTAGAAGGTACATCACACAAGGGGTGGTCTGCAGAAAGGCAGTGCGCAATTTGCACTTGCCTCCTGCCCGCTTATACCTGCCTTTCATTCCCCCTACCCCCTACCCCCTACCCTCTCTCTCCCCATGTCCCTGCGCCCCTCCCCGCCCCCTCTCTCCCCTTCTCCGCCTCCCCCCTTCCCTTCTTTCCCTTCCCCTAACCGGCACACCCTTCTCCCCCACCCCGACGACCCCCCACTTTTCCCCTCCCACGCCCGCCCCCTCTTTCCCCCCCTTCACCCACACCCCTCTTCCCCCTCACCCCCACCCCACGCCCCCACCTTTCCCCTCCCACGCCCACAACCCCCCTACACACAGAGAACGGGCGGGGCGGGGGGAGGTCGCAACTGGACAGTGCGGAGCTGGACGTGCTCGAGAAGGCAGTTCGCATCCTGCACCTGCGCTACCGCTCCTGCCTGCGCCCGCTCCCCCTCAACCCGTTCCCCTGCTCCGCTTCATCACCACTCACCCCCCATTCCCCTTCTCCCGCTTCCCCTCTCCCCCTGTAACCCACACCCCACGCTCCCACCTTCCCGCTCCCCCCTCCCACGCCCACAACCCCCCTACACACAGAGAACGGGCGGGGAGGGGGGAGGTCGCAACTGGACAGTGCGGAGCTGGACGTGCTAGAGAAGGCAGTGCGCATCCTGCACCTGCGCTACCGCTCCTGCCTGCGCCCCCTCACCAAGGGGCGCCTGCCCTCCGTGACTGAGCTGAGGGAGCTGAGAGTGAGCGCTGAGGCGCTGGGAGTGAGATCTGCCCTGCTGTGCCTCGACAGAATACCCAAGGTGGGTGGTTGGGTGGGTGGGCCTCAGTCTCTTTGTAGTAACAGTACACAGTACCTGAACTGCACCCCCCGCTCACCAAGGGGCGGCTACCCTCGGTGACTGAGCTGAGGGAGCTGAGAGTCAGTGCTGAGGCGCTGGGGGTGCGATCTGTCCTGCGGGACCTGGACGAGCTTCCCCCAGGCAGCGCCTGGCCCGTCTCCTCCTACCGCGTCGGCGCCCCCAGGCTCCACCTGAGAGCGCCCTGTGGACCACCACTAACCCCTCCTGCCCTTCCCCACCCACTCCCACCCTTCTCCACCCCCTCCCGCCGTCTCCCACCCCCTCTCACCCTCCCCCAACCCCCCCACCCCCTCAACCACCCTTCTCCCCCCCTCCCAGGGCGACCCCCGCCGCCTCGCCCTCTTTGCCTTCCGCACATTCGCCCTGCGCGCCGAGCTGGACGCGGAGGCCCTGCGCGACCTGGACGAGCCTCCCCCAGGCAACGCCTGGCCCGTCTCCTCCTACCGTGTCGGCACCCCCCGGCTCCGCGCCCTCCTAGAGGATATGGTAGAGGAGGTGGAGAGCCTATGGAACGCCACCAATAGGACCCTCTATGAGGTTGCTATAGTGCTCGCGCCGGTGCTGGCTCAATACGCGTTGCTGGGGAAGGCGGTGGGGATGGCTATGGAGCAGTACTACGCGCGGCTGACTGTGAGGAAGCACGGGCGGGTGGTTATGGCGGTGGGAGATGAGATTATCCTGTGGGATGATGGGTTGGAAGATGTTAGGGAGCTGTTTCTGGCTGAGAAGGCAGCGGATGAGCAGCCGTTGGGGTCGGCTGTTCGGATCGACAGCATGAATGATTACTCGTGGTTTGTTTCGTGGAATGGGACGTCTGCAGTGGATAATATCCCGAGTGAAGTTTCAGTGAAGAAACTGCTGCATTCGATCGGGGCGCCGACTGCCAGGCTGGCGGGGTTGAGGGCGAAGGATAAGGGGCTGCTGATGGGTGTGACTGTACCGGATGTGAGAATAGAGGCAGAGAAACGGGTGCTGGCGCAGTTGCAATGGGTGGTGGACGGTGGAGGGAAGCTGGAGATTAAAGCCGCTCGGCCGCAGCACCAGGGGATTAGTGCGGGCGTGGGGGAGCGGGAGGTGATTGGGAGGGGGAAGAGAGCGGGAGCGGGGCCGGGGGGAGGGGCGGCGGCAGGGGGTGGTGCAGGAGGGGCGGGGGGGCCGGGGGGGAGGGGGAGGGGGAGCGGGGGGAGCGTTGGGGGGAGGAGGAGGGGGGGAAGACAAAGCGCTGCTGAAGAGATCGTTTGCCAAGAGGCTCGAGTCTCTGGATTCAGCAGGTAAGACGGAGAACAGTCCACTGCAGTTTAGCTGATCGATGCTTGCTTTCTGGGCTCAAAGATTGCTGACTGACCGGTCACACATGATTACACATGAGATTACTCATGTATCTGGAGGGGGGGATGACAAGGCTCTGCTGAAGAGATCGTTTGCCAAGAGGCTCGAGTCTCTGGACTCAGCAGGTAAGGCGGAACACAGGTTTGCAGATTCTGCAAACGGTTCTTGAGAATTCTGAAAGCATCACAAACAACCCCTCCCCGCTCTTCCGCACAATCTTGTTTCCACCGCCCCCCGTTCCCCACCAACTAGGCATGGACGAACCCGAGCCAGCTCACGAGATACCCTATGATATGAGGACCTTGTGGAAGCCACCAAGAACTGGGCGGACGACCTGCAGCTGGGGGAGGGGGGCTCCGCGATTGTGTATAAGGGCGCTCTCTGAACCGTTTTTTCATACTTCCACTTTCCCCCACCACTTTCTTCCCACCCAGGCATGGATGAGCCCGAGCCGGCGCATGAAATCCCGTACGAGGATCTCGTGGAGGCCACCAAGAACTGGGCGGAGGACCTGCAGCTGGGGGAGGGAGTGGGGAAGGGGGCTCCGCGATTGAGAATGAGAAACCTCTCTTGACCTTGTCTGCACCCGCCCCTTCTCCCCTCACCCAGGCATGGACGAGCCTGAACCAGCGCATGAAATACCCTATGATGACCTCGTGGAAGCAACCAAGAACTGGTCGGACGACCTGCAGCTGGGGGAGGGGAGGGGAGGGGGGCTCTGCGATTGTGTATAAGGGACCTCTCTGAACCCCTCCGTCTTCCCACATACCTTCTCCCCTGCCCTCACAGGAATGGATGAGCCCGAACCAGCCCATGAAATCCCCTACGAGGACCTTGTGGAAGCCACCAAGACCTGGGCGGACGACCTGCAGCTGGGGGAGGGGGGCTCCGCGATTGTGTGTATAAGGGAGTTCTCTCATCCCTTCGTTCTTTCACACACACCTTATCCCCGCCCGCCCTACACCCCCAGGCATGGACGAACCTGAACCAGCGCATGAAATTCCGTATGAGGATCTCGTAGAGGCAACCAAGAACTGGGCGGACGACCTGCAGCTGGGGGAAGGAGGCTCCGCGATTGTGTATAAGGGCGTGTCGCCGGATGGGGAGTTGTGGGCTGTGAAGCGAGGGAAAAAGGGCGGGCTAACACGGCTGCAGGACTACCACAGGGAGGTAAGATGGGATTGGGGCTGAAGGGAGATGAAGGCGATTGTGTATAAGGGCGTGTCGCCGGATGGGGAGCTGTGGGCTGGGCGGTGAAGCGAGGGAAGAAGGGGGGACTGACGCGGCTGCAGGACTACCATAGAGAGGTGAGACGAGCAAAGAAGCAGGGGGAAGGGCAAGGATGGAGGGGGGAAGGCGGGGCATATATACGTGGATATACCTTATAGGTGGTGTGTAAGGGGGTGGGGCTGGGTGGGGAGCTGTGGGTGGTGAAGAGAGGAATAGGAGATAGGGGAGGGAGGGAAGGTACTTAAGTTGTTTCATCCCAACCTTCTACACCACTTTCACTGCCTCCTTCCCACTCTCCCTCCCCTCCCCTCAGATCGAGGCAGTGTCTAAGATGCTTCACCCGAACCTGGTGCGCCTGATGGGGTTCTGCCATGAGAACGAGGAGCAGGTGTTGGTCTACGAGTATGTGGCCAATGGGACGCTCAGACAACATCTATCCCCATTACAAGGTGAGCCATTCCCGTTATAAGCACCCTTGTTACAGCCTGATGGGGTTCTGCCATGAGAACGAGGAGCAGGTGTTGGTGTACGAGTATGTGGCCAATGGCACGCTCAGACAACATCTATCCCCGTTACAAGGTAAATTCGTTATAAGATTACCCCCAGTACATTCTGCCATGAGAACGAGGAGCAGGTGTTGGTCTACGAGTATGTGGCCAACGGCACGCTCAGATAACATCTATCCCCGTTACAACGTGAGCTGTTTCCGTTGTAAGCATGCTTGCTATGGCCTCATGGCCTTCTTCCATTATCTGGTGACAGAAAAGGTCCTGTCATTTGAGCAGCGGATAGAGGCGGCCTGTGGGGGTGTTTGAGGCGCTTCTGTTGCTCATTCTTCTCGTTTCTTCTCCTCTCCTCTCCCCGTTCTGCTCTTTTGTGCTGATGCGGCTCTGCCTCCCTCCCACTGCTCAACCCCAACGTGTCTCCCATTTTCCCTCGCCAGGTGACACGAAGAAAGGGGGGCTCTCGTATGAGAGGCAGATAGAGGTGGCGATGGGGGTGGGTGGGTGACGTGACACAGAGAAAGGCATGCTGTCGTTCAAGCAGCGGATAGAGGCGGCCGTATGGGTGGCTGAAACCCTCCTGTTGTCCTTTATCTTTCGCTGAATCCTGTGCAGGTGACACAGAGAAAGGGGTTCTCTCGTTTGAGCAGCGGATAGAGGCGGCCGTAGGGGTGGCGGAGGCCCTCCTGTATCTGCATTCGTGCAAGCCTGTGCTGGTGCATCGAGACGTGAAGAGCCTCAACGTGTTCATGGATGACGATCTACAGGTGAGTGGCTGAGAGCGAGTGAGAGGGAGTGAGAGGGAGTGAGAGGGAGTGAGAGGGAGTGAGAGGGAGTGAGGGGGAGTGAGGGGGAGTGTGAGAGAGAGAGGAGAGAGGGAGTGAGAGAGAGGCATGAAAGGAGTGGCTGAGGCCCTCCTGTATCTGCATTCGTGCAAGCCTGTGCTGGTGCATCGAGACGTGAAGAGCCTCAACGTGTTCATGGATGACGATCTACAGGTGAGTGGCTGAGAGGGAGTGAGAGGGAGTGAGAGGGAGTGAGAGGGAGTGAGAGGGAGTGAGAGGGAGTGAGGGGGAGCGAGGGGGAGTGTGAGAGAGAGAGGAGAGAGGGAGTGAGAGAGAGGCATGAAAGAAGTGGCTGAGGCCCTCCTGTATCTGCATTCGTGCAAGCCCGTGCTCGTGCATCGAGACGTGAAGAGCCTAAGAGCCAGAACGTGTTCATGGACGACGATTTGCAGGTGAGTGAAGGAGAGGGGGACGTGAGGGAGTGTGAGAGACGTGAGGAGCCAGAACGTGTCCATGGATGACGATTTGCAGGTGAGGGAGAGGAAGAGAGATTGTGGGGGACACAGTGAGTGATGTTGTGGGAGAGTGAGAGAGACGATGAAACCTCTAGCCGATAGGCGACGATGAAAGCGCCACCACACACACCCTTGTTTGCTTGCTTGCTCGTCCCCCTTTCCTCTCCTCCCCTTGTAACCCTCTCATCCACTCCCCACTCCTCCCACCAGCCGAAGCTCGGGGATTATGGAACCTCAAGTTAATAAGCGGCGATAAGTGCCACCACACACACCCGCGTGGTGGGAAGGGGGCGCTCCTGTTGCCCTCCTTTCCCCTGCCCTCTTTCCCCATGCCTCTCTCATTTTTCTCTTCTCTCATCCTTCTCACCCTCACACCCACTCCCCATTCCCCACTCCTCTCACCAGCCAAAACTCGGGGATTACGGCAACCTCAAGTCGATAGGAGACGATGAAAGCGCCACCACACACACCCGCGTGGTGGGCACACCTGGGTATCTCGACCCGCAGTACTGCCAGACGAGCGTGGTTTCCGTGTGGTCTGATGTGTACAGGTGAGCAGCGTTGATGGGGGGCGCTAGAATTGATGAGACTGGTGGGCACGCCCGGGTATCTGGACCCGCAATACTGCCAGACCAGCATGGTTTCCGTGTGGTCGGATGTGTACAGGTGAGCAGCGGTGGTGGTGGTGGGGGGAATTAGGGAGCAGTCACGACTCACCAGTGTTTGGAAGGGAGGCAGGGAGGTAGGGAAATGGGGAGAACGGGAGAGGGAGGAGGAGAGGGAGTGGTGGGCACGCCCGGGTATCTGGACCCACAATACTGCCAGACCAGCGTGGTTTCTGTGTGGAGTGATGTGTACAGGTGAGGAGGGTGGAGGGGGGGGGGGGGGAGAAGAAAGAGGGGCACGCCTACACTACCCCTTTTTCTCATCTTCCCTCTCCCTCCCCCACCTCCCTCCTCCTTCCCCCGTACCTCTCAGTTTCGGAGTCGTCATGCTAGAGTTCATCACAGCCAAGCCGCCGGTGCTGAAGGAGATACCTTCAGCAGCAATCTCACTTCTCTCATTCTCCCTCGTTCTTCCCCTCCTCCCTCCCTGTCTTTCGTGCCTCTCAGTTTCGGAGTGGTCATGCTGGAGCTCATCACAGCCAAGCCCCCGGAGCTCAAGGAAGCACTTTCACCACTCTCACCTATCCTGTTTCTTCCCCCCTCCTCCCTTCACTTCCCCTTCCCGTGTGCCTTTCAGTTTCGGAGTGGTCATGCTGGAGCTCATCACAGCCAAGCCGCCGGTGCTCAAGGAAGCACTTTCACCACTCTCACCTATCCTGTTTCTTCCCCCCTCCTCCCTTCACTTCCCCTTCCCGTGTGCCTTTCAGTTTCGGGGTGGTCATGCTGGAGCTCATAACAGCCAAGCCGCCGGTGCTCAAGGAAGCACTTTCACCACTCTCACCTATCCTGTTTCTTCCCCCCTCCTCCCTTCACTTCCCCTTCCCGTGTGCCTTTCAGTTTCGGGGTGGTCATGCTGGAGCTCATCACAGCCAAGCCGCCGGTGCTCAAGGAAGCACTTTCACCACTCTCACCTATCCTGTTTCTTCCCCCCTCCTCCCTTCACTTCCCCTTCCCGTGTGCCTTTCAGTTTCGGGGTGGTCATGCTGGAGCTCATCACAGCCAAGCCGCCGGTGCTCAAGGAAGCACTTTCACCACTCTCACCTATCCTGTTTCTTCCCCCCTCCTCCCTTCACTTCCCCTTCCCGTGTGCCTTTCAGTTTCGGGGTGGTCATGCTGGAGCTCATCACAGCCAAGCCGCCGGTGCTCAAGGAAGCACTTTCACCACTCTCACCTATCCTGTTTCTTCCCCCCTCCTCCCTTCACTTCCCCTTCCCGTGTGCCTTTCAGTTTCGGGGTGGTCATGCTGGAGCTCATCACAGCCAAGCCGCCGGTGCTCAAGGAAGCACTTTCACCACTCTCACCTATCCTGTTTCTTCCCCCCTCCTCCCTTCACTTCCCCTTCCCGTGTGCCTTTCAGTTTCGGAGTGGTCATGCTGGAGCTCATCACAGCCAAGCCCCCGGTGCTCAAGGAAGCACTTTCACCACTCTCACCTATCCTGTTTCTTCCCCCCTCCTCCCTTCACTTCCCCTTCCCGTGTGCCTTTCAGTTTCGGAGTGGTCATGCTGGAGCTCATCACAGCCAAGCCGCCGGTGCTCAAGGAAGCACTTTCACCACTCTCACCTATCCTGTTTCTTCCCCCCTCCTCCCTTCACTTCCCCTTCCCGTGTGCCTTTCAGTTTCGGAGTGGTCATGCTGGAGCTCATCACAGCCAAGCCGCCGGTGCTCAAGGAAGCACTTTCACCACTCTCACCTATCCTGTTTCTTCCCCCCTCCTCCCTTCACTTCCCCTTCCCGTGTGCCTTTCAGTTTCGGGGTGGTCATGCTGGAGCTCATCACAGCCAAGCCGCCGGTGCTCAAGGAAGCACTTTCACCACTCTCACCTATCCTGTTTCTTCCCCCCTCCTCCCTTCACTTCCCCTTCCCGTGTGCCTTTCAGTTTCGGGGTGGTCATGCTGGAGCTCATCACAGCCAAGCCGCCGGTGCTCAAGGAAGCAACTAAAGCAGTTAAACACTCTGATCTTGTCTGTTGTGATTTTTCGGACGTTAAATTCACTACATAATTATTTCTGCTACTTATATTTAGATGCATTGTTAGGGAATGGTGGAAACAAGGTGGAAACAACCGGGGTAAGGGGGGCAGGGCTATAGACAGTGAGTCGTAATAAATGCGACTACTTTTCCAAATACAACCTGCACTATAGTACCTGGTATAGAGTATCAGAAGCTACCGCACCATCCAGTGAAGCATTTTCATCACCACGCATACGGGTTCAATAGTTTCAGCGTGGTCCTCTTAAAGAGAGGAACTATGTGCTCAGCCCTCAAGATGGCATCAATGTGCACGACGCGATAGGCATCAGCCCTACGACGGCAGGCCAATTTTACGAAGGCTGTGTCTTCGTCCTCTCCTCTCACGTCCAGGAGCTTCACGTACGCGAGTGGCTGTTTCTCTATCTCCCGTCCAGCTCTGGTTTGGACATGGAAAAGCATGAGGAGCTGGGCATACACAACATCTGACCCCCCTTGAGTACGGTTACTGACCATACTCCCGTCCAGAGCTACATAGGAAAACCATGGATTCCCATGGAAAGCCACGGTTGCCCTTGCATAGTGAGCATCGTTCAAATCATTCCTTGGGAGTGCAACTGCAGAATGCACCTGCATAGGACGAGAAAGTTTGGGATGGCGAATGCAAAAGTTTCATTCTTCAGGAAATACAAACTTCAACGTCGGCAATATAAAAGTGACAGAGTTTAGAATAACACTGCGCATAATGGTGGTCATGGTAGGTGAGGTGTTTTTCTTACATGGACGATGTCATTTCGAATGCCACGTTCAGCGAGGGCTATTGTGATATCGTTCATGGCGCTGCCGTGTTGCTCCAACAGCCCTTGCCAGAGTTTCTCCGCTTTTCGACCATCAACATGTGGAAGTGTCATGGCTGTGCTTGTCGCCGTGAGAACAGGGTTTTTGTTCCTTTCAGCCTGGACGTTGAAATAAAAAGGGATAGGGGAAGTTGCACATGTATGGCATGATGTGTGTTTGTGAAAGTGGCAAGGCATTCCTTGCTGGCCTTACAACCAGCAATGCATGCAATGATGCATGTGTGTGAAATGAATGGCATGGCATTCCTTGCTGGCCTTACAACCAGCCATGCATGCAATGATGCATGGCTGTGAAACGAATGGCATGGCATTCCTTGCTGGCCTTCCAACCAGCCATGTATGCAATGATGCATGGCTGTGAAACGAATGGCATGGCATTCCTTGCTGGCCTTACAACCAGCCATGCATGCAATGATGCATGGCTGTGAAACGAATAGCATGGCATTCCTTGCTGGCCTTACAACCAGCCATGCATGCAATGATGCATGTGTGTGAAACGAATGGCATGGCATTCCTTGCTGGCCTTACAACCAGCCATGCATGCAATGATGCATGGCTGTGAAACGAATGGCATGGCATTCCTTGCTGGCCTTACAACCAGCCATGCATGCAATGATGCATGTGTGTGAAACGAATGGCATGGCATTCCTTGCTGGCCTTACAACCAGCCATGCATGCAATGATGCATGGCTGTGAAACGAATGGCATGGCATTCCTTGCTGGCCTTACAACCAGCCATGCATGAAATGATGCATGTGTGTGAAATGAATGGCATGGCATTCCTTGCTGGCCTTACAACCAGCCATGCATGCAATGATGCATGGCTGTGAAACGAATGGCATGGCATTCCTTGCTGGCTTTACAACCAGCCATGCATGCAATGATGCATGGCTGTGAAATGAATGGCATGGCATTCCTTGCTGGCCTTACAACCAGCCATGCATGCAATGATGCATGGCTGTGAAACGAATGGCATGGCATTCCACGCTGGCTTTACAACCAGCCATGCATGCAATGATGCATGGCTGTGAAATGAATGGCATGGCATTCCTTGCTGGCCTTACAACCAGCCATGCATGCAATGATGCATGTGTGTGAAATGAATGGCATGGCATTCCTTGCTGGCCTTACAACCAGCTATGCATGCAATGATGCATGGCTGTGAAACGAATGGCATGGCATTCCTTGCTGGCCTTACAACCAGCCATGCATGCAATGATGCATGGCTGTGAAACGAATGGCATGGCATTCCTTGCTGGCTTTACAACCAGCCATGCATGCAATGATGCATGGCTGTGAAATGAATGGCATGGCATTCCTTGCTGGCCTTACAACCAGCCATTCATGCCATGATGCATGTGTGTGAAATGAATGGCATGGCATTCCTTGCTGGCCTTAAAACCAGCAATGCATGCACTGATGCATGTGTGTGAGATGAATGGCAAGGCATTGCTGGCCTTGCAAGCAGCCATGCATGCAATGATGCATGTGGGTGTAAATGGCAAAGAATGTCTTGCTGGCCTTACCTCCAGCCATGCATGGCATGATGCATGAGAGACGACACGAGCAAGGCATGTCATGCTGGCCTTACCACCAACAACGCATGGGATGATGCATGAGACACGACACGGGCACAGCATTCCATGCTGGCCTAAACACCATCCATGCATGGCAATGATGTGTGAGTGTGAAATGCACTCTAGCTACGAAGATCGCATGCATACATGGGCACCAAGAGGAAAATGGAGAAGGGGACAGAGGAATGGCGGACACACTGCATGTAGAGGGTTGCGTTTGGTATCACACCTTCATTATGGCAGTATCACGTCCTGGCAGGTTGTTGAAAACTGACGGCAAATCCAGCAGTGCGCATCTCATTTCAGACGACCGCATGATGGCATCGTCGTAGTTACGGTAGTTCGATGCGCGGAAAGGTCGTTTGCAGGATGTTGTGTGGGCGTTCTCGAAGAGCTCGGTGCAGTACTCTCCGGGTGCACCAGCACGTCGGACTGCATCAGGGAAGTGGACAAGCTTGTGCACCTTGACAAGAAGCCAGCCATGCCCGGCCCTTGGAAGGTTGGTCCTGAGCAAGCGCACCAACCTGATTTACACACAGAAGTGGGGTGGGGAACAAAGGGGATAGGATGTGGGGTACAGAAGGAAGTGGGTTGGGAAACAATGGGGAGTGAGGTGAAGAACAGGGGGAAGGGAGTAGGGTAACAGGGGGGAAGTGAGGTGGGCAACATTGGGAAGTGAGGTGGGCAACAGGGGGAATTTTTGAGGGGAACAGGGGGAATTGAGGTGAGTAACAAAGGGAAGGGAGGACTTACTCTTTGGTGTCCACGGTGTACTGGCGCAAGAGACTCTCCGGATAGACTGGTGCACGGAAGTATGTGTGAAACCACTTTACGAAAAATCGCAGGACAGCCATCTTGATTGGTGCTTTCAGTAGCACATCGGACATAATAAGCAAGACCACCTGTTCCATAAACAATACGGGTTGGTTACGTCATTGTGACATCAAATTGCAACTCAATGAAAGGCTCTAAGGACTCAACCATAGAGAACACCAACATTCGCACTCACACACCCGAATCACGGCCGCATGCTCTGCCGCAGAATAGTTGGCTCCTGGATTGAAATAGTGACCGTCAGCGGGTAACTTGTATGAGGAAAACCTCTCCTCCTTCGCTAGGACACCGAGTCGCCTATGATATTTGAAAAACGGGATGGGGGAGGGGGGTTTGGGTGTAGAGGTCCAGGGTGGAGGGATAGAGGGAGGGAGGGGGGAAGGGGACAGGCGGAAGAGGGATAGGGAGGGTGGAAAAGGCATACAGATTGTGGTTGATTAAGTCATCAATATCACATTGCACATAGCAGCAAGACAAACACACCTGTTCATTTCGTTTATGTCTTCACCATGTACCACCTCTTCCAAAATGTAACGCCACACGCCAGCGAGTACAACATGTAACACATCCAGTATGATAGCCAAGTAGGGGTTGCCCCAAGGGTCGTGGATCTCATGCGCGCGGTTCACATTCCAGAGGAAGCTCTGCAAAACGTGGATGAAAAAAAAAAAAAAACAATAATGAGTCCAGTACTGAAACGCACCCTCTCAAGCCCTTACCCTCCAATGCAAGAGAGGTGTGAGTGAGGATGACGGGAGGACGGTATGTCAATCAACCCTACACCCTCCAGTACACAAGAGGTTTGAGTGAGAGTGAGGGGTGGAAGGTAAGCTCTCTGCCCTACACTCTTCGATCCATGGGAGGCACGAGTGAGGCTGAGGAAGGGGCAATTATGTACGTACGGGGATGGGATGTGTTGAATAAGCGGTCCGCCACTCCGTGCTTGCCGTCATGAGCCATTGTTGGTGCTTCACGGTCCGCCATTGAAATGACGCTGGTTCCATGTTTGCAAGGTCATCCTTATGCACGTAACAAACCGAGCAGGGACGGTTCGAGGCGTGTTGCATCGTGCTGGTCACACGACTCCCTTTAGGGTAATCGGCAACATACGAGTATAGCTTCGGCCAGACGGTGTAGACATTCCCAAACGGATCTGTTAATGGTAAGGAGCTGGGGAAGCATTACAACCATGGAGATAGAAGATTTATGAGAAATGCACTCATGCATGGCAACCTCACTCACTGCCATGCGTGGCAGGATGAGTAAAAGCGTTATGAGCAATGGACCCATGCATGGCAGCCTATGGTTCCCTGACATCATGCGTCAAATGGTGATGAGCAGTCCACCCATACATGGCAGCCTTACTCACTGCCATGCATGGCATGATGAGTAAAAGCGTGATGAGCAATACACCCATGCATGGGAGCCTTACTCACTGCCATGCATGGGTGATTGGCGAAAAGCGTGATGAGCAATGGACTCATGCATGGCAGCCTTACTCACTGCCATGCATGGCATGATGAGTAAAAGCGTGATGAGCAATACACCCATGCATGGGAGCCTTACTCACTGCCATGCATGGGTGATTGGCGAAAAGCGTGATGAGCAATGGACTCATGCATGGCAGCCTTACTCACTGCCATGCATGGCATGATGAGTAAAAGCGTGATGAGCAATACACCCATGCATGGGAGCCTTACTCA